CAGTGCCTGGCTCTGCACATCCCATGCTTTAATTAGGAATCTTCTGATTGATTAGAACTTAGAGCAAGAACTGGTTTGGGAAGAGAATAGGCACTGGAGAGTGGTCTTGTTAGTGGTGGGATTTCTTGGCCTTCAAGCAGGGATGTTGGGGTCTTAGTCCTTCTTCTTGCTCTCCTTTGTCCCTTGTGATCATGGTGGAGCTGCAGAGGGAGGAGAGGAGAGGAGGAGTAGGAGGAGAAGGAAGAGGGAGGAAGGAAGGAAGGAAGGAAGGAAGGAAGGAAGGAAGGAAGGAAGGAAGGAAGGAAGAGGATCCAGCCCTGGCTGGTGGAGCAGTGTGGATCCACCCTGGTAGGGGATGGATTTGGTCACATGGTGTTCCTTCAGCAAATTCACAGAAGTTCACAGAATCATCGGCTAGAATCACAGGCTTGAATCATGGAGTCCTGAAAGTTGGCAAAGGCCTCCAAGATCATCAAGTCCAGCACTGGACTAATTGGCAGCTAAGGGGCAGATTTATGGAGAAGGTTCCATCAAGGCACAATCCTTCCCTACCACTACATCCTTTGAGTCTTGAGGCTTTCCTGCAGCTCTTCCATCTCCCAGCCCAAGGGTGGGTTTGTGCCTGCAGCTGGACAGCCTAAATCCCATTTTCCCCCTATTTTGTTCATAACAGCCTCATGTCACTTTTTCTTCTGCATCTAATTTTCTGGGCAGCCTCTTAAATGCTGTGCAAGAGCTCAAGAGCTCTTTGGCCTTGTTAGTTGTGGTTGGTTGAGCACATTCCAAGCCACCAGCTTCCTTTCCCAAAATAAACCAGGCTTTTCCAGGAGTTTCCCTGCTCTGCTTTGACCACTGTCTGGTTTTCATGAAGCAATTTGTACAGGTCCCTGTTGGTTGCTGGTTCAAAACCTCTGTTGCCTCCATCTTCACCAGATGGATGCTGGAGGCTCTGAAGGGAGTAGAGCTGGAGTTGATCTCCAACAGGATGGAGCTCACTCCATGCTCATAATTATCTTGTATTTTAGGCTTCCTGGACCTTCATTAGGGCAATTTGTTGGGATGGGTCCTCAAATGGGTTGACCCAATGTCATGGTGAACTTCAAGGCAATGCTGTGATTGCCAAGTCCACTTCCTCAAGGTGGTCCTTATCCTCCTCCTCTTCCCACTGACCCTTTTTCCGAGTAATTTCCTATTCCCCATCCTGCTATTCAATGGGACAAAGCGTTTTTTAGGAGCTGGGGAGGCTGCTGTAGCTTAGCCCTTCTTCCCTCCACTTGTGTTGTCCTTCAGCTCTTTGGCTCATGGCTTGGTGGGTCCTCATCTCACCTTTCCTGCTGGGAACACTACTCCACTGGGAGGGTTTTTATGGATGTGCTGCTCAGAGAATGACCTTTTTTGGGGCTCTTATAATCCCTAGCAAACATGTTAATAAAGAAGAACAACTTCTTTACAGACTTTCACTGCCTCATGTGTTTGTAGATGCTCCAACTGCACATAATGTGTTGAGGCTCCAAGGAAAAGACAAAATCCTTGAAGAAAAATAAAAATCTTGGCCAAAATAACTTTTTTTTAACCTTCAGCAGCACTTTTGAAGTAGTTTAGTCTCCTGAACAAGCCACAAAAAAGGTTTCTTTTACCTTTCATTTATTTCCCTAAAGGAAAATAGAATTTCTTAGCCCAGGAGGATGTAGATTTTTCCCAAACACAGGTAAAATGGGATTTTTCAATCCTGGTGGAGGTGGAGACATTGCTAATGAGCCCAGTGGAGACACCAGTTAATTCCCAAACAGCTTCAAAACACAAGAAATTAACAAAAATGGACACCGAGAGTCAAGTCACGGTAAACCTTCATATTCTGGAGTATTGGGAAGCTTTAAATATCCAACTAGTAACAGCTTTCAGCCATGCCAGTTACAGTTTATTCCATGTTTTTCTCCCTTCTGCCTCATCCGTGCCCTAAATTAAAGGATATTTTAGAGAAAGTCCCCAGAAAGCACAAAGTTGGAATCTGACACCACCCCAAAGCAGCTTCCTTGTGTAGTACTGAGCACATCCGTTATGGTTTAGTGGTGGGTTTTGGGATGCAGCTGCTGTTCCATCAGAGATGCTCCGCATTTTCTCTCTCTAATTGTTCAGAGTTGGTTAGGTTGGTTTTAATTCCTTTCTCCTGATCATAGAGCCACAAAATAGCTGGTTCAGCACATCCTGCTTCAAGTAACTGG